GTGAGTAATTTAACTGAACACCCACTTCTCCCTAAGCCCACAATGTCATGTCACTGTCAGCAGCGCACGCAATGTCAAATCTCTGTGTGATGAGTCTACAAAATTGGAGGCTTGAGTCATTCTGGAGCACAAGGTTTAGGGTTTTAATGCAGACTAGTGGGTTCTTGTAAAGGTGGCATATATAAGAGCAGCTAATTAGGGCAACGCCATGGGAAACCCTGAGTTGAATGTGAATTTACCTCTTAGCTTTTTAGCTACACCAGCAGCATGGCTCGAGTGATGGAAATGACAGTCAGCCAAACACCAAAATATTCTATCCAAACAACTAAAACATGAAGTCCCCTTTAGTATTAATAATAAAAACATTTTATCTAGCGCCATTATCAGGTCAAAACTGGAATTTGTCCATTGCTGTGGTTCATGAACAAGTACCTGCAAGCTAATGGCATTTCCAACAATCTAGGCTGTATTCTGTGTTGAGTATTCATTAGCAAATCATGGAAGTTCATAGAGCTCATAGCATTTTCTTTTTTGAGGAATGCAACTATTTCTTCAAAGGGCTGTTTGAGGGTTAAGACTTGGTTTCAGGGTTAGAATTAGGTTAAGGTTCGTATTAGGCATTTAGTTTAGATGGTTAAGGTTAGGGTAAGGGTAAGGGACCAGGGAATGTATTATGCCAATGAGTGTCCTCCATAAGATAGAAGTACAAACATGTGGGGTGTGTGTGTTTGTGGCTCCAAAGACAAGTGAAAAATAGGAACTTCAAAATAAATGAACCAATGAACTATCAGGGAAAAAAAAACTTGGATGGATTGAAAAGGTTGTCTCCAGACTTGGATGATTTACTGACACTGTCTCAACACAGGAAATGTCTCTATTCAGAAAAACGTTCAAGGAATGTTTAAAGAGTGATTTAAAAAAAAAAAGAAATCTTCAGGAAAAGGGTAAGTCAAATTCCGCAAGCGGAGACGTAAACACCTTCGACCTCTACTTCAAAACCAGTCACCCAAGTTCACCTGCATTGTGTTGTAAACAAAAAAGATGGTAGCTGGTTAATTTAGGAGGATACCTGGATAGACAGACACATTTACTCTTTAGGTGTGAGAAGTAAAAAATAAAAGGAATTCAACCAAGATGTGAAAAGAGGTGCACTGAAAGATAAAGTAATAATCATCTGCTGGCTTGTTGGACACATCACCAGACAATACCACTGATGATACAACCTCTTTATTACCCAGTGGCTCTATAAAACCATAAAAGCCGTATCCACAGGGCTGCTGCGAGTGTGTGTGCATGTCTGCGCTGATGTGCGGGTATGCATGCATCTGTATGTGTGTGTGTCTATGTGTGAAGAACCATCCTGACTCCTGAGCATGGAGAAGAAACGCAGGGCCAAATCAAATCGAATGTGTGAGTCCCTCTAGGGACAGCAGAGGGACTCACATTATTTGTTTATTTATCCTCTGTCTTTCTTGGCAAGAACCGTCTCATCTCCAAGGAAAGGAAAAAAGAACTAGAACATGTCACACTTTTACAGGAAACATTGACAATGACCATCCTCTCTCTTCTTCTCCTTGCGTCTCACGTGGCAATTGAGTGTGCCGTGCGTGGTATATAAGGGCTATATTGCTGCTATGATTTAATGAAGACATACCGTACCGGGGATAAACAACCCATGGCCAAATGGGTAAGTGCATCATACCAGATCCTTGAGCCCTGAATCCTCTTTCAGTTCAGCCAATACCAGAACATGATACAGTTTTCTTTGTTCTCTGTCCGTGGCACTGGCTTTGTCCAGACATACATATGTTTGTATATATATATATATAT